TGTTTATATGAGATTTTAGAAATTATTATAGTTAAAGCTAGTTTCAAAGTGCAATTTATTGTGCAACAAATTGAGATAGATTTTTTTAACTCTCATTTAAAAGCATACTAATTAAATAAAGCAAAGAGCATCATATTAAAAACTATTCTGACTCCAGATGCCTGTAGTGGACCACCAGTAAATATAAATGAATCTGTTAGTGGTAATTTAATGCTGAGGGTAAAAGAGTATTATTCAGATTAATATTAATATTAGTACTATTTAGTTATTATTATTATTTTCTATCTTTTTCTATTAATTTTTAATTTTATAAGTATATTTAGTAGGTAGAAGCAGATATGAACATATTATTATGTATTTTTGTTTTATTATTAATTTTTTTGATTTTATTATTTAAATAATCAAATACATTTGTAAAGAAGGTTATCAATGTAGATTCATAAATGTATTATAAACTTTAATGGCAAAAAATATTAAATAAAGTTTTTATACTAATAAAATAACTTTGTACACTATTTTTATCATGTTCAAAATTGCTCAATTATGCTTTGTTTAAACATAACCCAATAGCAAAGTTAATTAATTTAAAAATAATTATACAATTTGTATAAGCTATGTTTAATAAAAACCATAAATATTATTAAAAAAAGGTTAATTCTATTGTTGAATTTAATAAATATATTAATTAATTGAATAGAAATATCATTATTGAGTTTAACAGTCTTCACTATTAGTTAATCCTAGATAATTGTTCATATGTGTACATCATTAAAACATTTATTACATATTTTAGAACATCAACATGGATGACTCAGTAAATGAATTTGGTGTAAATGAAGTTAATTACAGCATTGCAGATTTAACCAATAACCATTCCATCATGAATATAAATTCCTCTCAAATAGCAAATATTATATGTGATAATAATTCATCTCAAAACTTCACAACTCCATCTCTTCACAGCCCATTTTCAGATCTTCATTATGATGAAGAGTTGATGAATTTGCTTATAGAATGGAACTTAGAATCAGTATATACAACTTGCATCGGTAACATTTTTAAAATTTAAAATATCATGTTTCAACTAAATGTAAGTTTCACTTTAATATTTTTAGAAAAACAAATTGATTTGGAAGTTAAATATATTTATATTTACAGTTCATGCAAGACCATCACTTTCCAATGGTACTGTCCAACTTTTCGCCAGGAATACAGATCAAATTTGAATATCGTGTTAAAAAATATCAGCAATCGTTAACAATAAATAAGGAATCACCAACATTGAACAATAACTTATCTACTAGTCAAATATCCCATACAAATGATGACATATCTAAAAATACAGTATTTAAATTGCATAGTGTTTTAACAAGTAATCCGAATGGGTCATTAATTCTGGATTACTATACAAAACATAATGTTTTAAATGAAAGTTGTCGTAATATGTTAGTGGAGATTATTATTTCTGATATAATCAGAAATGGCTCTACAATGACAGTTGTATTGGCAAATTCTATAGCCATTAACAATTATTGTTGGAACTTTTCATTCTGAAATCAAGGTAATAATATAAGTCTTAAGTACCTAGCTAATAATAAACCTATTAAATAAATAAATGTGTATTGTGATTTATTATAGGATATATATTTTGTTAAAAATGCCATGAATTCCCCAAAAGGTAAATTGTATACAAAATATTTTAATACTATTCGATCAATGAAGCAAAGTGGATTATTATCAAAAATTCCCAAAGAAAAGTCTTCAAAACTCATATGTCGCACTATGGATAAAAACAATCGTTTACTTGGTAATGTACTAATGTATAATATTATATTTTACGTAATATTTAGTATTTTATTCTTAAATGTTAGATGTGGAATTTCTCTGAGATAAATAATGTAGTAGAATAGTTTGAGTGGTTAGTAAATAAAATATAACTGAGAAGAAAAAAGGCAAAATGGAGTAAAGAGAATGAAATGTAGGAATAGATAGGGACATAGGGTTTAACTATAGTCTATAGCTATGCTGTACCATAACAAACTACCCTCTTTAAAATTCTATGCCAATCATTTTAATAATCCTTATTTATATAGCTAGTGAACCCGATTCTGAAAATATATCTTCATATTTATATGACAAAGATTTAACTTGGCCTGAAATTAAAGATATCTGGAGGAAAACCATCAACTTTCGGCTAAATTTTATCAAAGAAAACAACGCTGTTGAAATATTCAAGAAATGGAATCATTATACTATGCCAATGGGATATAAACTTGTAAGGTTTTAAATAGAATCTAATAAACTAATATAAGATAAAGGGGTCACTGAACATGTTTTAACACTTTTTGTGCGTGTAACTACCTCAAAATTATTTACAACAACAAATTTTCTTTTTTACCAATGGATAGAAAATATTACCTAAAGTTTCTTAATATTCATTGAAGGTTTTTAGTAATTAATATTGAATACTAAAAGTAATCCCATAATTTTTTTTGTTACAGTACCCCAGTGTTGGAATAAGTTGTAGCATATAGCTTAATTTTTCAATAATAATTAAAAAAAAAAATTATATATATTACTCATTAAAGTTAATAACATATAACATCAAGATTAAAAAATAAAAATGATAGAATAATAGTATAAAATATGCATTAAATAAACTTATTTCATTTTTATAATAGTTAACAAAATCTTTGTGAAATTGAGATATTCATTAGGCACAATTTTGAAGAATCTTGAAACAATAACATGATTTCATTAGTATTTTAGAGATCATTATTACATTTTTTATTGATATTTCTAGGTTGATATTGATTTTTTAAGTTTATACACAGACAAGTAGACAACTCAAATTTTAATTTAATTTTTGAAGAATCGTACAATAAACTCATTGAAGTATTGAAAGAGAGAGTAAAAGACCCTGCTAACCGACAAACTTTGACAACATTCAATAATACACTTAACGATTTGACAACAGGTAATATTTGTAAGATTGTTAGTATAAAAATATACATTGTACCGTCTATTTAATATTAAATGATAGTTTATTTAAAATCTAAAGAAATACTAAAGAACAGTTTAAATCAGAAATTGTTTATACTTGAAAAAATCTAGAAAGCATGTATTAATAATTCATTTCTAATAGGAAGGTACTATTATACCAATATTTAATAAGCATTGTATTATTACAATATTCCATAGAAAAAAAATGATGAATTCAGTAATAGACTTAATATATGATTCCTATCTATATACATACTACATTATTTAGTACCTACCTACAAATATCAGGTTAGCCAATCATTAGGCAATATCATACTTTCATTGTTTTTGGTAATATTTATTTGTGTGTTATATTAATTATAAAATGGAAAAATGTTTTATAACAAATAATTAATTTTTCAGATTCAAAAGTATTGGTTATTATGTATTTATTACACTGTGTATTCATTCCTTCATCGAAAAAATCTACTCGTGATGAAAATGGTAGAAAAGGTTTTACTAAATACAGCATACGAGATTCACAAAACTCATTTATCATTGTGACGCCAACTTCTGTGGACATGAAATCTACACTAAACAAAATGTCTGAGATGGGTGCAATCCAGCCTTGTATATTAGTTATTGGAACACCATTTGATCCAAAGCAAATACTTGTTTATTTTGACAACATTAAGTATAAAATGTTTTCAGCAATTAAAGCCTTTGACATCTGTTTTAAGATTTTTCATGTATTCAATGTAGAGTATCCAATAGAGTCTAGTGATGTGTGGTTTTTTATACAATTTTTTTTTTTTAAGATAACTACAAAGTATGATAAATCTAATGTATTAATTAAACAAGTGATAAATGAATTAAAATCTTAATTGTATGCATAATATATTATATACTGGGTGTTAATGAATAAACCAAAAACAATTTAATGTTTCGTTTTGTTTTTTACAAAAAACATTTGCTAAATACCTATTCTTCCTAAACTCTTCACTTTATACAACTTATAAATGTATATATTTAATATTATATTTGGTAGATTTAAAATGATTATTTTATAAATTCAAACAAATTATTTCATTAATATCAGACTAAAATTCCAAAATGGTATTGTAAATTCAAGAAACAATTTAGTCAATTCAACAAAAACATTTCATTAATATCAAACTATAAATACAAAATGGTATTGTGGATTCGAGAAAACATTTTGTAAATTTAACAAAATTATTTCATTAATATCAAACTAAAAATACAAAATGGTGTTGTAGATTCAAGAAAACCATTTTGTCAATTTAACAAAAGTTTAATTTGTTGAATTAACAAAAGTTTTATCTCTTAATCAACAAAGTTTTTTATTGACCGTATATTGATCAAAATATTGTTAAATCAAACCAAATTTTTATTGATAATACAGGGATATTTTGTTTAGTGTAATGAAAAGTCGTAGATATTTCGTGTATCGAAAGTAAGTCACTTTGTCAGCTTTATCGATAAACTATCGTTATAATCTATTATTTAATATAAATCCTATTATTTTATATAGGCACCATGTATAGATATTTAAACGAGTGCGATAACATTATTTCATCACATACTCCACACTATTATGTTCTTACAATTATGAATTATAATTATATTACAATTATTGTTTTTAATATTATTAAATTAAATTAGCTTATAAATTATATATTATATAGAATAAAGGGTTAAAATGTATGACAGTATAGACTTACACATATACATTTTTTTACCGTGTAGGAACTTACACATGTACCTGTCTTCCGTCGTGTAGGAACTAACATAGGTACCTTTTTTTTTTTCGTGTGGGAACTTACATATCACATAATATGTAGGAATTAATGTAAGTAATTGTCTACCTGTTACTCTCGTGTAGGAATTTACGATTCCCCAGATAATACTTGTGTATTACATGTATTTTTTGATGTTTTGTATTTTATAGTAGCTAATCAAATATAAATTTATTATAAAATACATACGATTTCTGGAAAATGGGTGGTTGCTCTGCTATAAATTGCCGTCATCACTCATCAAAAGGACATTGCATGTATGTATTTCCTGCAGACCAGAAGCGGCGAAAACTATGGCTCATTTATTACAGGAGAGCATATTGGGTTCCTGAGAAAGGTGCTGCTTCATGTGAGGTAAATTTTATCAAGTTAATATTGAGAATTTAATAGATATTATTAAAAACTGAAATTTCCCCACAGGCACATTTTGAAGAAAGTGAGTTAGAGCTACATGGAGCAGATGGTCGAGTAAAACTTAAACCAAATGCAGTACCAACTCTGTTTAATGTCCCACGACCTCCTAAAAAACACAATCCATCATCAATAAAATCGTTATATAAGGTGAATTAATCATTAAGGTATTTTCTTAAGTTTTGTGTAGGTATTAGTTATGTGTAATACCTATGTAAATGTTTATTCCCTTTACTTTCTTTTGTAGCGCCTTCCGGAGAAGGAAAAAATGAAGCGTGTTTCTTCAGAAACTATTCCCGATAAAAATCTTCAACATGCAGATGTAGCCAATCAGTCTTATGAAAACCAATTTAATCCTGCAGTAAGTACTATTACAGCACCTATTTAGAATATCCCTGCCATTTTTTTAAGTTCCATAATGTATGATTCAGGGATTATTGACATTCTAATTGAAATGTATTTTACTAATGATTTTTTCTAACTATATGCTTTTTAGTTAAATTGTGTTTTTACTGCTACTGGTCCAACTTACTTTTCACAATTGCATTTGATCATCTGATTTCAATTATTCACATATTTTTTGAAATCATTTTCATTTTATTGTAGGTTTTCAGTTTTTTTAAATTATATTTAGTATACACCTTAAATATTAATACCTTATATATATTTTATTAATTCAATTATTCATACACTTATTTCCAACAGTTGATTTTTTTTAGGAAGCGAAATGGAAAACATCCATAAACTGATTAACACCAAAAAAGAAGAAAATAGAAAATTGACGGAAGAACTCAAAACTAAAACAGATATTCTATTGAGAATTCTAGAAGAAAAAAAAACTACCGAAGAACAAATGAACAAGCTGAAGAATTTCCTAAATAAAGACCAAATAGCAACATTAAACAATATAAGAACACGAGAATGGTCTCCAGAGGCAATAATAAAAGGTTAGCATTTTCTATTGCCATTAATATTATTTCGATGAGACCATCCAATACATATAATATTGTAGGCCCAATTAAAATTTGATTACTTAATGTATTGTTATTTGTATTTGCAGCATTGAAGTTTCTCTTTGCATTTGGCGTTCATGGATATGAGTTTTTAAGAAATACCAATTATCCTTTGCCTGGGTACATACACGTAGATTAAGTGAACTGGAATTCAATTTTGTATCCAAAGTAGATAAATTGGATACATTGTGTATCCTCAGTATTGAAGAGATCTATATCAATGACAGTGGAGGTATCAAAAAAAATAAAATTAAGTTTGTGGAGATGTAACTTTCTGTCCATGCACAGATAGAGCTGGGGAAAACAATTTGAATGACACAAAAGGTAACCAATTGTTAGTAGCATTAATTCGAGGAGTTATGGAACCATGGAAACAAGTAATAGGTTGCCACATAACAAGCAATAAAACCAGTGGAACTGATTTGAAACAATTTCTTTATGAATGCATAGTTTTGCTACAGAACTTGGGCTTACAGTGGTGGCAATCACTTCAGACATGGGAGGTAAAAATTTCAACTTATGGAATGAATTAAAAATATCCGTGAAGAAAAATGGAGCTAGCTTGAACAAATTTGAGTATAAAGAAAAAGCGATCTATGTTATTGCAGATCAGTGTCATTTGTTGAAGAATTTGAAATCAACCTTACTTAATGGTTATATAACAATTGCTGAATACTTTAAACTTGAAGAAAATATACCAACTCAAACGTTATCAGGATGTTATATTAAGTGATTATGGGACAGAGAAGTAACAGAAGAAAGAGAATTGAGATTACTCTATCATCTTAAGCGAGAAGACATTTTTCCTGGCAATTTTCAAAAAATGCATGTTGTTGCATTGTTGTAATTTTTTTAGCATGCAGTCGCAGAAATTCAAGCAGATGTCAAATTACAAATATTACCAGAAAATGCATTATCAACAGCTGTTTTCATAAAATTTGTTTACCAGTGGTTTGGAATGATAAATTCTAAAACAAGGAAGACGTCTATTACCAAACAGAATCATGTCAAGAAATATGATTTACTGATGAAATTAATTACAACAATAAGTGATACCCAGTTTAATGGTACAGGTTGGAAGCCATTAAATACTGGTGTAATATTAGCTACATTGTCAATTTGTGATGTTATTCAAGTTCTCTTAAAAAATGGTTATGATTTTATATTAACACATCGCTTCATTCAAGACGCATTAGAAAACTTATTCTCCCAAACTCGAAGATGAATAGGCAAACTTCCATCTTCTACAGATTGCTTAAATGTAATGATAATCATAGCAGTAAGCCAGTTTGTTTCTGATGTTAAAAGAACAAATTATTTTAGTGATAGTGTTTTAACTTTAGTAACTTTATGTTTTAACATTGCAAGCAGTTGCATGCCACAGCAGCATGAAAAATCAGACCAGACATTATTTAGGTGGACCATAGCTATTACTTTGATAAATGTTCACTCAATTCACATATTTTAGACACTGTTTCTTTTTCAGAAAATTATTCAAAATTAGATTTATACTCTTTAAACCTTATTTACAATATTGGTGGAAGCACAGTCAACGCTTGCATAAAGAAATATTGCTCATCATGTAAAATGGTATTGCTTGAAAACGGGAATGATAATGTATCACTTTCAATAAAAAAGTGGAAAATTTACAAATCATTTTTAAACATGAGTGGCTTGAAAGAGCCTAATATACTGGTAGTGCAATTATTAGTAAATTGTAAACTACAATACCAACATTTTAGAGACCACATCATGCACAATGGTGCATTCGATCTTGTTTCTAAAATTAAATTAATAATTATACAGTAATAAATTACTTACAATCTACAAAAAAGAAAAAAAACTATACATGGTTCAGCTACAAAAAAGTAATTTTAATATAAAATTATGTTAATTAAAAATAAATGTTTGATACACTTTCATCATGTTTTATTTATTTATTTACACATTATAGAAACAGTTTGACATAATTAATGGTAAAGTACAAAAAAGGTTCTCAAAAAAGCTAAAAACAAGTTTTGAGTGTAGGTACCTATTAATGTATTAATAAAAGTTGTACCTTTTCATAAAATAAAACAATTATAAACCAATGTCCAAAATCATTACACAACAATGGTATGTTTACTATTTAAGATTCTGAGTATAACGAAGAGAGTGTCATTCAGAATCATTTTTAGATACTGTGGTATCAATTTTCAAATAATCAATTTTCTCTTGGAGTACCTTCTGTAGTTCTTCTAGTTCTTTGGAAAATGTGAAGGACCTATTTCTTATTTTTGTTTGTGAGTGCTATAAAAAATACATTTTGGTTATCAGTCTATATTGTGAAGCTACAATTAATAAATAAGAACATTTTAAAGGTAATACATAGAACCTACATAATATACTACCAATCTAAAGTTAATAGGAATAGTAGTTGATATTGTGGTACAAAATAACTCATGCAGCCATACATCAAATAAAGTGTATTATATATCTACAACCTAGGTCGGGTACACTGTACATCAATTCACATAATATAAATTATATTTTATCGTAAGAACTGAAAAAGAGAACTTCTTCACTTACCTTTAAGTTCAAACAAAATGGTAAATAATATTTTGCTTAGTACCTACCTACAAATAAACTAATTTTTATTTTTTAGATTTTAAGCAGAGCGATGAACGTATTTTTTATTGTGAAGAAAAGGCTCAATAGCGAAGGTTATTAGCCTGAAATAAACTTCTTAATCACTGTCTCATTAAAATACGTAAATGTAAGCTTTGATTAATTTAATTGATGCTTTAACTTGTAATTTAATATATAACACATTATTAAAGTTTTAAAACAAAATATAAACAATACAATATTATGATTAAGATTATTATGATAACATAGGATTGGATAGAAAATGGCGGATGAGCATACCCGTATATATAGAGCCTTAGTTACGGTAGCGGAGACGTGTGGCAGTATTGCGAGATCGACGTTAAGATCTACCTACTCCGAGGTTTTTCGTGGTCAACGTAGCGACCCGGTAAAACGACGCGATCTACGATTTATAACCTAGTGTTGAGTATAATAATAAACTTGTCTGTGTGTGTTTATTTATGCTTCTTATGTTAATAAAGTTCTGACAAACTTTTTATACCATAAACGTGCCTTATTCTTTATATATGTTACCGGAAATGTTGACAATTTAGGAAATGACGACAATTCCTAGTAAATGTTGACAATTCCTAAAATCGGAAGGAAATGTTATCACCACCTAGGAATTGTAATCATTTCCGTAGTTTATTAGGCAATGTTATCACTAGGGCCCGGAATTTGATGATCTAAAAATATATAAAAAAAAATGCATAAAATGACATTTATTAATTAATTTTTTTTTTAAATGATATTAAAAATGTATATTTTACTGTAAAAACTGATAAATATTATTTCGATACAAATTATAATTATTATAAATTAATTAAATACAACTTTATATTATAGTCCTTTACACTCTATATAGTAGACACTATCGAACTAATAATGCTGTAAAAGCGCGAAGGGCTTATACTCGCATGAGGAAAAGAACGAATACTTCCGGCTACGCCGCCGAACGCGAAACATTCAAAAGCGAAAGGAAAGCCCTGTCTGCCATGATCCAGGCGGCGAAAGACGAGAACTGGAGACGGATCTGCGAATTGGTGGATAAGGATCCATGGGGCAATCCGTATAAAATTGTTATGAAAAAACTAAGCACCAGGAAACCGATTCCGGGACTTAACTTGCCTAGCCGTCTAGACTCAATTGTTGGCACCCTGTTCCCCAGTAGACCTGTGGGTACAAATGAGATCGTACCAGTCAGCCAGGAGGAACTCGATGCGGCGTACATCTCTCCGAGCGAGGTTGCGTCGGCGGCAAAGTCACTACCAAACGGGAAAGCGCCTGGCCCGGACGGTATACCGAATGAGGTGCTAAAGGTGGCAGTAGGCTTGCACCCCAAATACTTTTCTGACTTGTACAACAATTGTATTAGAGCAGCAGTTTATCCCGAAAGATGGAAAGCCGCGAAACTAGTTCTCCTCCGCAAGCCGGGGAAACCGCTGGAAAACCCATCGGCGTACCGTCCGCTTTGTATGATCGACTCAGCAGGGAAATTGTTTGAAAAGTTATTAACGGCGAGGCTCCGAGAGCACCTAATTACTACCGGCAACACCACCGATAACCAATATGGGTTTAAGCGAGGCAGGTCTACGATAGATGCCATGAGCAAGGTGAGGAGGATATTCCAGGACGCAGAAAGGCAGAGGGCATGCATACAACCTATTCGTAGGAATGCTCACCCTCGACGTTAAGAATGCATTCAACAGCGCACCCTGGGCAGGTATCCTTAGTTCGCTGGAACGGAAGAGGACACCGAGTTACCTGCGGAATATCATCGGGCAGTACCTGTCGAACAGGAAGATCCTGGTCACCGGGGAAGGAGGTGAAAAAGTTATAGCGGTAACGTGCGGGGTGCCACAAGGTTCTGTTATAGGGCCCGATTTATGGAATGTGCTGTACGATGACCTGTTGAGGATCGAGCTACCGACGGATGTCGAAATCATCGCGTTCGCCGATGACGTTGCGCTGGTAGCAACCGCATCGGTGCCATTCCTGCTCGAGGAGAGACTGGAAGAGGGGCTCCAGACCGTCATTGATTGGATGACGGCCAATGGACTAGAACTGGCGATCGAAAAAACCGAGGCGATTATGCTCACCAACCGGAACAAATGGAACAGCATGACGGTCAGATGCGGCCCCCTTAGATTTGAGTCGGTGAAGTATGTTAAATACCTCGGAGTACTGCTTGACTCCAAGCTTCATTTCAGGGAGCACGGCGATTACGCTGCAGCGAGGGCTGGCGACGCCTGTCGGCAACTAATACAGATATTGCCGAACCTCAGAGGAGCGGGGCAAAAAACGAGAAGAGTTCTAGCAACTGTGGTAACGTCTCGTCTGCTGTACGGTGCTCCCTTCTGGTATCCTTCAATGACGGTGAGAGCAATATCCAAGATGGAATCAGCATACAGAAGAGTGATGTTGCGGGTCGCATGCTGCTACAGCACCGTGTCCCACGAGGCAGCATCGGTCGTCACAGGAATGCCCCCCTTGAAGCTACTAGCGGAGGAGAGGGTTAGTATTTACCAGGGTACAGACAGAGAAACGGCTAGAGTGACAACGTTGACAAAGTGGCAAGCCGCGCGTGGAACGCTGCCGGCAACGGGAGATGGACGCACCGGCTGATCAGCGACCTGGGACCTTGGCTGAGCAGGGCACACGGTGATGTCACATTTCACCTGAGCCAGCTGCTGACTGGACACGGGTGCTTCAACGAGAATCTTGCAAGATTCGGGAACTCCACGACTACAGCGTGTTCACTATGCGGCACCACGCCAGATACAGCTGAGCACGCGGTTTTCCAATGCGATGCGTTCCATCGGTGCAGAGTAACGGCATGCGTGTACCTCGGGGTGGAGGAGTTGTCGGCAGATAATGTCATTGGAATCATGCTACGATCCAAGGAGGACTGGTGCAGAGTGACTAACCTTGTGACGAAGATTATGACTACGCGCGAAGCTGATGAGCGGTCCAGGCAACAAGCGGCTGGCCAGCAACAGACAAATTAGTTAAGGCTTTTTATAATGTGTGCTGAAAGCGAATTTTGAGAGGATAGAGCCTCTTATTTTGTAATTGTATAACATATATAATTTGTAAATTGTGTTCATTTTATTCAATAAATGATGCGATTGGGCGGATGGAGTATCTACGATAGTTCCCGTCCAGTTGCGATTTAAAAAAAAAAAAAAAAGGAATTGTAATCATTTCCGTAGTTTATTAGGCAATGTTATCACCAGGGCCCGGAATTTGATGATCTAAAAATATATAAAAAAAAATGCATAAAATGACATTTATTAATTATTTTTTTTTTTTAAATGATATTAAAAATGTATATTTTACTGTAAAAACTGATAAATATTATTTCGATACAAATTATAATTATTATAAATTAATTAAATACAACTTTATATTATAGTCCTTTACACTCTATATAGTAGACACTATCGAACTAATAATGCTGTCAAACTCAAATTAAATGAGAAACGGAGACACACGGGTAAAATTATTTTATATACCTATCAGTGCAGGGACATGAAATTATATATCAAACACGGGTTTATGTCGATTGTGATAACCGATTTTAAAGAGTATAAACAATTACAGATTTATAATGCATTATTAGGATCACTTGACAAAATTTGTTATAATTAAACCACTAAAGACTAAACGAGCTGAAGAAATAGCATATAACTTAATGGACATTTATACAAATTTTGGAGCGCCAGCAATTCTACATTCCGATAATGGGAAAGAGTTTGTTAATAGTGTAATTAATGAATTACATACTATGTGGTTTGATGTTAAAATAGTGCACGGAAAACCAAGACATAGTCAAAGTAAGGGGGTCTATAGAACGTGCGAACCGGGACGTGGAAGATATGTTGGCGACATGGATGGCGGAAACAAAATCAACAGATTGGCCATCAGTTAAAAAAATACTTGTTTATTTATTGATTATTTATTAAGGTGATAGTAGATTAATTAATAATTATGTTTGATAAAAGTAATATTTAAATAAGTCAGATTAAATTTAAAAAATGTGGCATCTTTGCCTACTATCGTTAGGAAATGATAACATTTACTAGGCGATGATATCATTTCCTTCCGATTTTAGGAATTGTCAACATTTACTAGGAATTGTCATCATTTCCTAAATGTCAACATTTCCGGTAACATATATATAATTTATACCTAACACTATCATATGCATTTTAATAAAGGGATTGTTAAAGTGACCGATCGTTTTTTAAATCGATATTTTGTTTCGATCTACTTTCGCATAGGCGCAATTTGAATTTTTGGCTCGGGGGGGGGGGGGGGGGAGGCTGAATATATTGAAAGCAAGCAGACCATTGAAATATGAAAAATTAAAATTGTATGTCCTAGGTTTTTTTTTTGGAGGGGGGGGCTACGACTAAGTTTGGGGGGCTTAGCACCCCCCCCCCCCAATTTGCACCTATGTATTTTCTAGAATCGCCCATCACGCTTGTGTAATGAAAACTAATCGCGTTTCATACGCAGCGTACGCTCGTTTTCATCAGTACCATATGAGCAGCTGCGAAAGAGGCCTAAAGCCGTTGTATACGTTTCACTTTGGGTATAACGTATTACCATCCCCTTAATCATCAGACGGGACATCATTAGAGCACATTTGTTGTACGAAATATTAAATAATAATATGATAATAATATTTCATTATTATTATTATTATTATTATTATTATTATTATACATTATGTTCTCCCGTGCGATTAAATACCGTGACGACACGTCACAGTATTTATATATATTATTTATACTTACAACGATATCGAATTATTTGTCTCAATATTTTATATAATTGGTAGAAATGAACGGAACCCCGTGTCCTCCTACGATAACGAACGGCCAACGAGTAACAGTTAAAATCCCAGACGGATTGCTGGACCTAATGATGGTCGTCGCTCGAGAGGTGAGTACATTACACACACGTAAACCTAAACCAGATCATAAGTAATTGCAGACTTATAGACACGCCAAACGTCTTATAAACCAGACGAACCATGTCCCATGTGGGTTTTCCCACCAATTTCGTTTTCGTATATACAAATGACGCGATCACTCCACCAGCCCCTCTAGAATTTGTTCTTTGTGAAGAGATTTGGAAGTTCCCTTGATTGTATATATGAAGGTTATATTATGAGAAATTCACCTCTTTGCGAACGGACAAAGCCCTTTACAATGTTGCATGCTGTTTGGAAATAACAAGTTCTTTTTAATCAATCAGTCCGCTTATTATCAGCCTCAACGCGTTGATGCCAACAATAGTTAAGCCAGTTATAATAATAATTATAATGATAATAATATATTGTGTTTGATTTAATTATTATTAGTTATTAAACAAAATATTTTGTTATATTTAATTGTTTATTATTACATAGTGTACCTAGTTTTTATGATTTATTTTATATTATTAATACATTAACTAGTACATTAATAAGACTGTATTAGTAAAATTAATCAGAATGATTTCAATAATTTATATAAAATATTAGCTGTATTACCCGGCTTCACCCGATTGTATAATATTTGTGTATCACCGTACACCCCCCCCCTTCCAATCTATAATATCTTGCCGAAAAATTTCTCAGAATTATTAGATCAATATAATATAATAGGTACCGTTAAGTCTCTAGCTATCATTATTTAGGCTCTAGGTTTGATCAGTCATGACATGTTCGATTATATTATACTAGCTGAATAACCTGGCGTTGCCCGATAAAAGATTTTGATTATTTAACTAATTTTGGGTTTAATTCGCTGTGCATATGGGTACCAAATCATATTATATTTTAATTTTTAGAAATTCTGCGTGGATGGCGTTCTCCCTGAGACTAGCTTATGGTTTTGTGAAAAGTTAACAGTATGTTATCAGGTAGGCAATCTACATAACCGTCCCAAGGGGGGGGGGGGCAAATGGGGCAAGTGCCCTAAGTATTATGAATTTAGGGGGCGTACTAAAAATGAATGATAAAAAGAAAAATTTGGTGTTTTTATTTTAGGTATTATTTTTTCTTTTTATACTGTAATATCAAAGATGAGTACCTATCAAATTGTATACTATTAAATACAAAATTATGTAAATAATGTGTTGAATCTTAATGCTACATTCCTTCAATAATATATTCAATATTCATAAAAATAAATAATAATATTAATACTAATAAGTTATAAGACTACAATAGTAATTTATTCACATGAAATATATTTTAAATATGTATACACATCATTAAAATAATTAAGTAAAAAACTTTTTTTTTAAAAAAAATCATTTGTGTACCTAAATGAATATTTATAATCTGTAATTGGGTGGCACAATAAGTAAAATGTTTAGCATAATGGTGAAAGGGACAGTGAAAGACATGAAGGAGCTTCACATTAGAAGCACCTGAGCTTAAATAATTTTCTTAAAAGATATAAATCAGATATTGAGTAGGTCTCTAGGCCAGTCGCGTTTTAGGCGTCTTGGCGGGTTTTCTGGAAGATGGTTTTAGTGAAGTTGAGCGATGAGGAAATTGGGGTGGTCGGCTATTTTGGAGTGGAGGTGAGTATAGAATTTGGCAGCTGTTTGTTTGACAGTAGCAATTTTTAGCTCATTGTGGAGGCTGACATTGGTAACGTACAAAGGAGGCATTCACAGTCATTCGTAGGCAAATGGCTTGGAAAGCTTGGATAGTTCTAGTGTTAGCTGGTTTGGCTGAACCCCAAAAAATAATATACTTATAAACTAAACTAATTCATATCTTTGGTAGTATTAAATATTTTTTTCACTTAAAAAGATTTTTTTTCTGGTTTTGTAATCGGCAAATTTAAGAACATCGCAGTATGGATTACAGAAACCATTTTTAATTATAAACAAAGCGAGGTCCTTAATTGTTGTGTTTAATAATCCTCCTTTAATTTGCCTGGGAAAATATCATTATTTAATATTTATAGAATAATATTTCAATAATACATCAAATATATATACTGACAGTGAAATTTGATTTATAGATAAATACATTAAAATAATGTGATTTTGACATTTGTTATCTAATACTAAAATAGTAAATTATTAGTTGGGCAGTCTGTGGGAATCCGTGATCCACAACAACCATCCTCGAGTAGTTGTGCTACTGTAATTATTATACTCAAAGATATATGTACATTATGTTATAACCAACTCATTACCAATTTTACCCACTTCTTAAAATAAATCGAGTTAGTGTATTTTGACTGAAATCTGTATATTATTATTCACTTATATCCACTTGTACAATTTACAATGTTGACTGTTATACGCGCCACACGCAGAAACGCAGAACGTATGATTTATAATAAAATCCACTAATTTGTGAAAATAGTTATATATAATTTATTTCTGTAATGTACCCAGAATAATGAAAACGGTGTCAACTTCGAAAAAATCATAGAAACAAAATAAATATTATTCAAATAATAATAATAAAATAATAAGTAGGAACCTTTAATTAATAAGTATTAAACATATTTAAGGTATGTGGTTAATTATAAGCTAAAAATGTGAAGTCGAGATTTTTTGTGGGAGGGAGAGGGGCGTCAAATATTGTTGCCCTAGGGCGTTATTGGTCGTTAGAGCGGCACTGGCGGACACAACGAGATGAGTGATAAAATAAAACCTATAGGGATATGATACTCCGTGAATTGGCCAAATCGGGCGATTGTGGCCTTGAACACGGTTTCCAGGGGGGCGTGTCATACTTGAAATAGGGAATGGTAAGCAAGATGACCCCGCGTAGCGTATCCCGCCTATGTTCCGGGAAACGGTTTTTCAATACGGGTATCATGTTGGTGTACGGAAACAGTTTCATTGTTCGGACTTCAGATCATATTTAAACACTTAACCCATCAGCTGTTCTAGTTACGCTTCTATATTGTTCTATGATTTTAGTATATTAGTATATGTTTGTAGTTCAAAAAAATGTTATACAGTGTAGGTAGGTACCTAAAATAGTACTGAAGTCTATCTTCCCAAATTTTTAGGAGCATTTAATATTTATAAATTATTATATTTTGGGGGTTATTTAATTTTAATTTGAAGGAAAAATCGGCGTAGTGTTGTACCTAGCTTTGTGAAATAATTCGTAAATATAACCTACAACCAAAAGCAACCATTAATCAACAAAAAAAATTTATCTAGTGAGTCTTATAAATTATATGATGCACATATTTTATAGGTGCTGCGTCATGCTCCCGAAGACAAGTGTACGGCGTACTCGATCGTAGCTGATTACTTGGGAGAAATGATCAAGGAGAATAATGTAAAACCCCCATCATGCATAGATAACGAATGGACTCATGAAATTACTACTCATGACGTGATCAAAACGGGTGAAAAGTCCGGTGTTACGCCTGAATCGGCTAACGAGGCTGCAACTCTAATACAAGTAAATAGTTTGCCGGAATAACTTGATTAGCATAATAATAATATAATATTATAACATTGTGTCGTTGTTATTCGTTCAGAGGGCTTGGAGGAAATACAATAAATCGGTTTCGAATATAAAACCGGATTCTTTGGAAACGGGAGACCACGTCTTCTCCAAGGTAATTCGCATGGACACTTACGAAGAAATTAATTACGAAAACGATTCCGACGACATGGAACGTGTGAACGTAGTGAGAAAAGGCCAGAGAGACTATGTGCCACCGATTCCAGATTTCATCGACGATTTATACTCGTTAAAATATGAAGACGAAGAATACAACTACAAACGGACTCGTGAAATGATTACTCAAGACGTGATTAAAACAGATGTACAACTTGAAGATACACCAAAATCGGCTAACGACGCTTTGTCTTTAATACAAGTAAATAGTTTGCCGGAAATAATTCGATTAGCATAATGATAATATCATATTATAATACCATGTCATCGTTCTTCATTCAGCCCGATTCTTTGGAAACGGTAGACCGCATCATCTCTACAGAAATTCAGATGGAAACTTACGAGGAGATGAATTACGAAAACGATTCCGACGACATGGAACGTGTGAACGTAGTAAGAAAAGGCCAGAGAGACTATGTGCCACCGATTCCAGATTTCATCGATGATGTATACTCCTTGAAATACGAAAAAAATGGAAACGGGCAGCCAAAGGAAACTTCTTATGAAGACGAATAATAAAAATTCAATAATTTCTATATATAAGGGTTTACATATTTTTGATTTGAGTAATCTCGAATTTATTTTTCTTGTATATAGAACTGTCGCGATACACCTATAGACAGTAATAAATTCTGTTCGTGTAAATACTGTTTTGGTTTAATCTTATAAAAACCTAAAAACAAACTTTTCACATTACTTTTTACTGTATACATTTTATACGAAAAGGCACTGTGTTCGTTCCATAGACGGTTCCATTAAACTCATAGACGGAGCATCCCAATTCGGCGGGGTTGGGTGCACCGGTCACAGCTCGGCCGAGGGCCGTTCTCCGACAAATGATAACAACCAATTTTTTCTCCGACAGTCAGAGTGACCAACCATGAAAAAAAAAATGTCAAATCGTTATTTTACTATAGATACTATAGATATCTGATCCTAATCTACATAATTTGAAGTTGAAAGTTTTACTAGTTTTAGTACACGTTTTAGTTTTAACTGTTTGAAGCATGACAAGATATATATTTTGTCATGGTTTGAAGCTTCTGAAGTTGTTTTTTTTTTTCTAAGGTAAGGCATTAAAATCATTATTATGAACATTGTTAAAATTATATTTATTAAAAAAAATTATAAAACATACAATGTCATAAATCATAATATATAAATATAATAGAACTATAAAACACACATAATCATTGTAAAACCAATACATGCATCACTATTCACTACCTACTAATTGAATTTGTCAATAAATGTAAAAAATTAAATATATAATTTGTCAATAATTAAATCTGTTATAAAAAAGTTGTTAAAAGTATAAAAATTGTATAAAAATAATAATAAAATTTGAAATAAAATATTTTCTCAGGTTATCATGGCTGTGGGCCAACTTGTCCATGCAGATACCCATCCATCATATGGCCTGCTCTTTGGAGAAACATTAAGAGATTCCCATCGTCATTGAGAGTATCAATATACTCTCTAACCCTCCGAGTAGCATCTGACCGTTGTACTCTAGATGTATGATTTCTTACCTAAACATTTAAAAACAACAGTATAAATGAGTAATTACAATATAAGAGTACATAAATTTAAAATAAAATAAATTCATTAATCTACTGTTAGATTTCTTCGAACTTGGTCCATCTCAACGTAAAATTGATTTTCAATCAACAACAATTTTTCTAGAATAAAAATAAAATAAACTGTAATAGTTATTAGCTGAAAGTTCCAAAATAAAAAGAATAAAATAATTAATTGCTTATTAATAACAAATATTTTATAAAATTGAGCTTACGCAAAAAATCCCAAATATTTGGATGTTTTCCCATTTGATTGAGTAACATAGCGTGAAATGACTCTAGGTAATTGTTGGTGCGTATATCTGAACTAAAAAGTATATTATACATTTTAAAACTATTAGGTTAGGTATATTACTATTAGGTACCTAGTAAAAAAATGTTTTTTTATATAATTCTCATACCCATAGACGCTTATAGAGGCAGCGCCAATTTGTGTAAGCCAAAATTCCTGAATATAACCATTCAGAAATACTTCCATCTGTTGATAAATATTCGGATATTGATTGGCAAATTCAACAATTACCCAAAATCCATCATGTATTGTAAATGTACAATTGGGATGTACTTGAGCAGGTAAATGTGGTAAAGCTAAGATCTATAACAGACATTTTTGTAAAACAGTATACTTCTTCTTTATATGGCCCTAATACTCTTTAAGAGTTTTCACCGCCATAAAAAAACAGTATATTGTATTAATACTTTATTCTTATTAATTTCAGACTAAATTACCATGCGCAATATTGTAGCTGCCTCAGGATTCGATTGGAATAAATGGTAAATACTAAATACTATTTAGACTTCTTCTACAATACCTTACAATAGCCTAAAGAATATTTATTAAATGATGTACATTATATTAACTATTCCTAATAAGAAATAAATTGATTGATATAAAATACTTAAGTACCTTAATACTTTACATTACTTACTTGACAGTAATGGAACCAACAACCCTGAAATCTGCTTTCAGGAAAGGTTGATTCTACTGCATTTTTAACCCCCTTTCATAATCAGATATGATTGTTAACTGGGCATAATTCAATGGCAAAACCTCACGAACAATCCTCAAGAATGACTCGTATGTAGCTTGAGTCATTCGGGAAGTCAGCGCATAAACCATCGGAAAAGACTTAAATAGAAAATACAGTCAATAGGTTTATATGTACTTGAGAAGCTATATTTATTAATTTACTAATTATACTTACTACATTTTTTAGAACCACTTGAAATGTTAATAAACAGCCTTTGGTTAGCTGTGGTGGACTTTTTGGTACCGTTTTAAATGTGCCGTCAATTCCTGCAAAGGTTACAGTTAGCAGTTCTTCTCTATATTTTTGAATAGCATCTAAATTTGAGAATATGACGCCAACCCGTTCGCCTTCTACCATAAACAGTAAATGTTGTTGAAAAAAACTAAATAAAAATATATTTAAATATTTTATTTTATAATTTTATAATTTTTAATAAATGTAAAATTTTACTTTGAAGACGGATTCTGCATTGTTGTTCCATATGCTGAGTTTTGATGCTGGCTTAAGGTATCAATCAGTTCTTCGACTGTAGATGGATTGTTGGGATGGCGGCGCCGACGCATTTTTTTTACACACATTTGTGATTGTAAATAGGTGTAGTTTGTTGCACCTTCTGGATTTCTAAGGCAGTAATGAAATATTCTTACTTAATTAATAGTATAGTTTTTAGTATATTAAGTAGTATAGGTGTATAGTTAGATTAGGTTAGGGTAGTTAAAATAGTTATGCATATTTTTTATTATTACTATTATATTACTTTTGTATTGGTCTTAGGTTAGGTTATTGATCTTCTCTTACTTACTCAACTATTTCTCTGTTATAAATTTCTCTAACTGAGGTGGACATATTTCCAGGTTTTGTTCCAGTTATACCAATAGCTCTTCTTAAATTAACCATAGGAACATCAACTAACCTAGGTGCATGGTAGTGCAATCCTAATACTGTTATTGCATTGTCATTTATATTTGTTTTCACATACGCAGTGACAGGACAAAATGCTGTTCGATTTTTTTGATTTTCGCACACTAGGTATCTAAATAAGTTATAAATTAAGATTTTACTAGCTAGCTAAACAAACCAAATCCTAAAATAATAATAATATTATTTCTACTCACATTTTGTTATTTCGACTTCTACTTTTATAATACTTGTAGTTTAAATTGTCCACAGATATTTGTGACTTAAGTCTAACACCAGGAATTATTGTGTATGTTGTCGCATGTTCTTGAACTGTAAATAAAATAATAATTATAATTAACATTAACATTTAATTTATGGCTATTGCTATTTGTAAGTAATATTTACCTTTATATAAATATATGTATATATAGGTAATTTAGTACTTACTGTTAACTTCTTCATCTACATCTACATCCACATCCACATCTACAATAATTTCTTCTGGAAGATTGGGAAGAAGTAAAACATAATTATGTTTATGGTCATGTAAATGATTCATATTGAATAATAATATTGAAAAAAAACCCAGATATATGTATAACTGAAAGTTTAGAGATTTTAACCAAACAAAATATAAACCACAATACTAGAGTTGATGTATAATAAGACTGAAAGTGTTTTATAAAACTGTTCTGTAAATTTCCCGCAGTGAAGTATAATAAATAAAAGAAAACTAACATGGTATTTTGTAGATAAGTAAAATGTCATAAATTAAACAAAAATAACTCCATATTATCTTGACATAAATTGATTTTATATATTACATCCTATACATATTATCTTGTCGTTAACGAGGTAATCCATTCTTCCCGATCAGTTTTTATTGACTACATTTGAACTTACACCACCTATGTTTGTAACATTGTATAGGGTGATTTTTTTTTAAATGTTCACGTTACAATATGATCTAGGTACTTATTTAATAAACTTGGACTCATTTGTAATGAGCACCTATGCTTCTCTTAGTAAGTTCTATTTTGTTGTTACTGTCTATTACTGTTTTTACCTTTTTTTAATTATTATTTTATTTTTATTTCTATATAATCGCGGTGTATTGTTAGGCGTCTACCTATTTATTGTTATATTATTCATATTCATTACTACAAATTGTGTTGTACTATTTTGCTCTTAGCCCGTTCATACATACATATGGTTATATAATCTATTTATATTATTAATACTTTAGTAGAGTTTTTAGATTTCAAGAGTTTCAAGATCTCGAATATTATATATAGCTGAATACAATTGATGCTAACTAATCCATACTTATTAAACACAAAATACATATTAAACTAATTTAATAAACTAAAATAAAGAGTAAACAAGGTAAGCTATATAAATATATTCCTATTTTTCAAAAATAATTGTTAATATTAAAATTAAATTTTGAATCACTTATTTATAAAAAAATGTTGATTTGCAAATTTAAAAAATCCCATTATTAAGTATAGGTTGGTTCTAAAAAAATGTTTTTGATGAAGATAATTATTTAAACGTTTTATATTAATTAAACAAATACAATCAATACACTTTATATTTTAAACTACTGAAGTATAAATGTATAACTGTAAACAAATGCAATCAAATTTAGTTGGTTCAACAATTATTATAGTTCTATAAATAATAGTAAAATAAATTTAAAAGAATATTACAAATATTAATAAAGACCAGATAGACTTAAATGGTGGCATTTCAATGAGGAATTGGATGAACAATTACATTTTATAATAAAATATAATAATATTATATTAAACAACTTCCAGCCCTGTGGTTTTATCATCTGATGTTCATTAATACACAAACAAAAATAATAAATAATAATAATATATTATGTAATTAAATTTTATTTATATTATGAATGCATTGAGCCATGGTATTTACATTTTATTCATATTATAAATGTATTTAGCCATGGTATTTAGTTTGTAGAGTTTGTAGAGTTTGTAGAGTCTACAATAATGACAGAAGTAAAAACAATAGAGCATTATAATATTGTTGGATTTAGATGGCCTTAATTTCAAAGATTTTCTTTTAAGCGGTTTTATTCTTAAAAATGAGCTTTTAAGTTTCAACGATTCAGATTACAAATTCGTTTACTTTTTAATATAAAATTTTAAACGCCAATTTAATAAAAATTATGTTGGTAATGGAGAATATTTGAGGTTATATCCTGTTATCAAATTTATGTTTGTCGGAGAACGACCCCCATCTCGTCACAGCTATCGGCATAGCAGTGTTGTCATTTCTGACGACATAAAATATGTTTGCTCGCATTTATCTATGTATATAAAACTGAAATCAAGCAAAAGAGGAAATCTTTGTTACAGTTTGGCTTCGAAACTTCTTATCCAATTGTCGTGCAGTTTTTTTTAAATGAAAGAGGATATCAAGGAGCAGGTTTTCGGCATAAATAAAGTCCGATAATGTTAGTCAATAAAATTAGTTATCTATACATATAAAATCCAAATACCACTGACTCACTGATCGCTGTATCTCAAAAACTACTCAACGTACGGACTTGAAATTTGGAATAGAGGTTCTTCTCATATTTTCACCGTGCAATAAGAATGGATTTGCCAAAATTCGCATTTTAAATAGGTGCTCAAACAGGTTAGGTTAAATTTTTTTAAGAGTTGCGATTTTTTACGAGCAACCAAATTTGTTATATTAATCCACCGTATTATATCAAAATAAACTTGGTATAACTTTGATACTTTAGAGTTAAATCATACACTTCCGTACAAACAGCACGGGATCCGCGATCTACCGCAGGTAGATTGCCTACCTGATAACGTACTGCTGCGATTCAGAATTTTTATTCCGGGCAACGGAAAAGATAAGATAAATTTTGAACACCATACACCGAATATTGAATAACGAAATGAACAAAGTTTGAGTCATATTGAGTTGATACATTTAACGGGCGACGAAATGCATGGGATCAGCTAGTACGATAAATAATTACTATAAGTAAATGTGAATAATGATTAAAAGTGGCAATGAGGGGAGTACAATGAGTAGAAGTTTCACATTAGAAATTCCTACGTGGAAGGTAATTTAGGGAGAAATAGTAATATACACGATTAATAATTTAATGTGCGTTGAGAAGATCTCTGTGCAATTCACGTTTGAGGTGTCTAGGTGGGTTGTCTGGAAATGCATTGGTATGAAGTTGAGCGATGAGGGGGTTTGAGTGATGTTCCATATAGGAGTGGAGACGAAGATAATATTTGATAGCTGTTTGTTTAATGGTTGGGATTTAGAGGTCATTATGAAGAGTAACATTTGTGACGTACCAAGGAGCTTTAGCAATCATGCGGAGGCAAATGGCTTGGAATGCTTGTATGGTTCTAGTGTTCGATGGTTTAGCGGTACCCAGAGAGCGATTCCGTATGACTAGATAGGTTGCAGAAGGGATTTGTAGAGTAGTAGACGGTTGGAGATGTACATATTAGATTTCATGAGAGGCCTAAGGATGTGTATGCGGCTATTTAGTTGTTTACGTTTGGTTTTGAGGTGGGGGCCCCAGGTGAGCCTTCTGTCAAACAGTAAGCCGAGATATTTGACTTCATTTGTGTGAGGAATGATTGAATTCTCAAATGTTATAGGAGGACAGTCACCGGGGAGGAAGGAGAAAGTGACATGCGAAGTTTTGGAGTCGTTGATCTTGATTTTCCATGATTTGAACCAGTGAGATAAGCTGTACAGATTATTTTGAAGTAGGCTGCTTGCTTCGTGGGGGTATTGAGTAGATGAAAGGATTGCGATGTCGTCGGCATATGTCCCTATTAGGGTGTTATCCGTTGTAGGAATGTCAGCTGTGAATAATGTATATAGGAAAGGAGCGATGTCACTTCCCTGAGGGACACCGCCTAGAATGTTTTGTGTTCAGGAAAATGTGGTTTTTAATTCGACTCTGAATGTTCTGTTATTTAGGCATGATTTTAGAAGTAAATAAAAGGGTAGTAAATAATAGGGTGCCGGGAAGATTTTTTTAAGTTTGAATAATAAACCGTCGTTATAAACGGTGTCAAAGGCTTGAGCTACGTCGAGAAAAAGTCCTGAGCAATATTTTTTTGTTTCTAGAGATATAGGTTAGGTGGATCTGGTGAAAAGTTGCATATTTGGCACGGAAACCGAATTGAAAGCTGGGAAGGGCATTTTGTTTGAGTGCGATAGTCACAAGTCTCTTGAGGAGAAGTTTTTCAAACATTTTTCCAAACGTGGGTAGTAAGCTGTTTGGTCTATACGATTCATTCATATCAAGTTGTTTGCCTGGCTTAAGTATAGTTATAATGAGTGCTGATTTCCAAGTGGTAGGAGAATAAGATAGCCGAAATATAGCATTAATAATGTAGGGGAGAAGAATGATGGTTTTTGGTGGTAAGTTTTTGACTATTTTGTTGTTAATGAAATCATGGGTGACTTATTATTCTTGAGTTTTTCAACAATTGATAGAACTTCGTCAGGAATAGTTGGGGAGGCTGGAAGTGCCATGGACAGAGGCGTTGATTTCAATTTAAAAATTAAATATTGATTTTATGGTTTTATGATTTTTTTATTGAAGCAGAATATCGATTTAATTATAAAATGATTTCGATTTTAAATATTTTTTTTATTTTTTTTCGATTTTTTTATTTTACTTTCAGTTTAAAACTTAAATGTCTATTATTATTTTGATATTAGTGAAATATTTACAAGTTATGAATTATTACTATATTATATTATTCTTTATTACCTTTACATTTTAACCAATGTCCAATTTAGTTTAAATTTTAGATTCTGTTATTGATTAACTACCTATATCAGCTAAATTTCTGTCGCAGCTATTAAAATAACAATGCCCAAGCCCCAAGAGCGTTTAATTATTGTTTAGACTTTTTAAATCACAAAATACTAAAAAGCCACTCAAGAGATAACATAATAAGCCAATAAAT